TAAAAACGAGTGTTTGAGGTCGCTTAAAAATCAGCAGCGCTGGCATGTGCAAAAACCAGATTTAATATGAAACAACGGCACGACAGAGTTCGTTGGCAGGTGTCACCCTGCTGTTCACAGCGGCGTCGGGGCACAAAGGCAATAAACAAGAACTAGAAAAAGTAAACAAACCGGGGSATATCAAAGCAGAGAGGAACAGAGAACTCTGCAGGTGTCTGTGTGGGGGGAAATGAGAGCACAGTGAGGGKGAGAATGAAAAGGAATTCACCCTGAAAGCTTCACAGCACTCAAACTTATCAGAATTGATCTGATAATTTTAACTTGTGCCTTAATAGATGTCTTAACAATTCAACAGAGGGACAGCACCTACGAGCATTTAACCTGASTCACACCTTGATGTGACTGTTAAACAGGAATRTAGACAGCGCTTAACCTGAATTACGACTGTGAGGTCAATTTAACAATTTAACAGAGGAACAACACTCRAWAGCCTTTATTTCGGTTTATATCTCAGCTTTACTCGCGGCCTGACACACTCGGATAACCGAGGAACCCAAACACCTCAGGGAGCAGCATTTCTGCCCACAGACACAGAGCACAGGTACCCGTGTGTGCACAGACAGAGTCAGTGCAGGGACTGTCAGGAACTCTCCAGCGCAGGGCAGTGCTCGCTCCGGGCGCTCTTCCATCTCCCCAGCGGGTGAAGGGCTGAGCCTCGAGGAGTGGGGGGATCAGCCAAGACTCCATTGTTGTTCGGGGAGCAGCAAACGGGAGAGTTCCCGGCTCGGAGCGGCCCCGCTTAGAGGGAGCTCACTGGGCCAGGAGAGCTCCAAGGAGCTCATTGTGGAGCRCTGTTTATCGCACCCTAAGAGAAGAGTTTATTTTAGTCACAGCAATGTTTCATCCTGCCCGCCGCTTAGGGTTGTGAGCCAGCTTAAAAAATGAGAGAGGGAAAGTTGCGCCTTTCACGAGGGTAAATAGCGCGTAGGGCTGTTTCTRAAGAAACCTCGCTGGGAGAGCTCTCCAGGCAGCAGCAGCGCCCGGGAGCCGTCGGGCGGTTTGTCAAAGCGTTGCTGAAACCGCAGTGAGGACAGAAAACAGAAAAGAGCTCGGTCTGAACACTGCGGAAACCACAGATCTGCCTCGAAACTGTCACGGTGAGATGGGACCGCTTCGCTCTCACTGTCTGATTTCCTCACGTTCTCGCAGCTCTGATTGTTCAGAACGGGGCTGAGGGACGATCCCGTCCCCGCTCCTTCACCCCCTGCCCCGAGGCCGCTGCGGGAGCGGCTGCCCGCGGTCTCCTTCCCGCTGATGCCCCGGCAGGAAACGGAACCGCCGCGGTTGCTGTCGGTGTCCGGGAGTGTTCCCGGAGCTGCGGGACCGGGCTGGGAGCCACATCGGGTACCTGCAGGAGCCCAGGGGTGAGATGGGATTAACCTGAACGCCCCTCACAACCCAGTGAGTCCCGGGACTCATTTCCTTCCATCCACTTCCTGCCCAGAGTCCTTTTGTGGTCCTGAAGGACCGAACAAATGGGTCTGTGGTGGTGACCCTCACTGAGTGCCTCGATGTTACCGTTGACCTTGCCTGGAACTTGCTTCTTGTTCCACAACTCGCTAAAAACCCGAGTGTCATTCTCTTTGTCTGTTTCTGCCCCTCTTCCACCCACATTTGTCATCCTGTGTGCAAGCCTTTACACCCCTTTATCGTTTTTTGCCAGACCTTAGGCTCCATTAGCATTTCAGGGAAACTTAAAATTGTTCTTCTCCGTTCATCAAATTTTCCTTTTTTTCTTTTTTTTTTTAAATTATGTCTCTTTTTAGAGCAGTCTCAGCAGCCCATTTCCCAGCACAAAGTGTCACAAGGACTCTGCCATGGGATCAGCACACCCAGTGCCCACCCTGCAATGATCTCAGTGACTGCCACAAATGCATCTCACAGCAGCCCCTGGTTTTACAATCCTGAAGCCAATCCCAGCAAGAGGAATTTCCCTTTTTGTGCTGCTCTTCTACTGCTCTTTCTGTCAGAGGTGACTCTGATTGTTGTGCTTCAAACCCATCAGGGACAGGAGGTGCAACTTTGCTGTCCTGGAGTAGCACAGGTTCCTCCCTGGATATCCACAGCCACGCGGCTCTGTGGAGCCCTGTTCCAGCTTTATTTGGAAACACCTCCGGCAATTAGTAACAGTGAATATTTTGGCTAATTTGATTGTTAAGTTTTGGTAAGAATTGTCATGAGCCACCTCTTGGAGTGAAGCCCTGGAGGAGTTTTTGGGGAAGGAAATGTTGTGGTTGGCTGTGAAGAGAGAGCTTCCCGATGTCAGGAGTCATTGGGTTGCAATGTAACTACATGCAGATTAAATATTTATCAAACATTGGCTGAAATATGTTCCACTTCAAATACAGAGTAACACACTCCAGTTACAACATTAACCCTTCTTCTCCCTCAGCCCAGTTGGGTTTGGGGACAATAATTCCGCTGTGCACGGACCCAGAGCCTTTTTAAGCCCAGCCTGAAGCCCCCATGGGACGCTGCTCAGCTTCACCGCGGCTCTGGGGTGACAATGCTCAGCAGGGTCCTTTCCCCTGGGGCTGCAGAGGGG